ATCTATCTTCGTTTGCGAATTAAAATGCAGATGCGTTGTCAGCCGTGAGAACTAAGATAGAATGCCTCTTTTCCAGTAAAGAGGGTCTCCGGTTCTCTACACTCACCATTCGAAACACAGCAGCATTAAGCTGCTATTTTACGCTGGTATTCTGTGAGAGCGTGCTCCCTCTCTGGTCGAGCCGACCCATTCGTGCTACAAATATACTACTAATATAGCTGCAGTATGGCTCTACCACGTAAACAGACAAAAACTGTCAAAAATATCGAAAAATATCTTCTTGCGTTTTATCATTTATAATATAACGCAAGCACAATATATATATATATATATATATATATATATATATATATATATATATATATATATATATATATTTGTGTCTCTTTTCTATTTTTATCTATTTTATATTTTAACAATATCACCAAAATATATTTGCATTTCTATATTCATGTTTGTTTGTAAGTGTAATTATGTACGTCTTTTGTACGTGTATATATGTGTATGTGTATTTGTGTGTACGTCATGAAAGTAATATTAATATTTCAACTAATTTGTTAATGCTTAGTATTAGTACTTACCGAATTTATTTTGTATTGTATTAGATTAACAGTGTTATGTTTTGTTATTTACTTTGTGGATAACTATTATTGGCTTTTTCGTGTTTAATAATTTAAGTAAAAATGATTGAGTATTAATAAGCTGTTGTTATCCTGAATAAAATAAAATTTTCATTCTTTATTGAGGATAAATATAGATATCTATGGGTCACAGCAACCACTTATCATCAGGTAGACTGTGTGCTCGTTTGTCACCCTATCCTATTTAAAAAAACAATAGATTTTTTGTTTTTCGTTACAGTATTAAGCTGCTATTTTAGTTACTTTTGCTGATATTCAGTGAGAGAGTTGTCATACCCCAGTAGAGCCGACCAATTCATTCTATAACCTTATTGCTGCAGCATGGCTCTAGCACGTATTAAATTCGCAAAGTCACAAGGAAAAATATTTAGAATAAAACAAGAGCAAACACAAGGAAATCTCAAGATAAATCAATTTGACTTATGGCGAGATAATTGATACCATTTTTTTCAATTGGTATGCTAGCTTATTAGCATATTAATTTGTAATGTATATAACAACTGTTCACCAGTTTTACCTACATAAGTAGTTTGAATGTTTGCATATTATTACTGATAATAAGAAATCTGAACGCTTATGTACGCTCGTAGGAAGCTATACTTCTTTAGCGTAACAAAACAAAAAAAACTTGATAGATAATTACCAACTGAAGTTGTCGCTTTAAGGTGTCAGTGTGCGCGCGCATCGTAACAACTTCAAGGTGTCGTTTTTACTAGCATCTTTGGAGTGCTCTGAGAAATTGTTTGGACGTATTCTAGCGCACAATTTCACCATCGCACATCGCGACAAAACTCGCGATAACATCCATACCATCTGGATGACTGGCGGTCCACCACTGTGCGATTTAAAATAAGTTTTCTTACTCGCACAACTTCCTTGTAGAATCGACTACTATACGATACGAGTTAGGGAGCTTCAAGAAAAGAGCGTAATCCTTTTTAAATGGCCGGCAACATCTTTTTTTTTGCATCTGCAAGTCCCCTAGTATTGCAGTTGTTTATGGGCGGCGGTAATCACTTACCCCATCAGGTGAGCCGTATGCTGCTTTGCCCACTATCCTAAAAAAAAAAATAGGTATTTGTGCGTACGCGTCGTAAAAAAATCTTTCTTATATATTATTCCCAAACGACCCAAAAAAAAAACTGCGGTTGCCAACCCATATGCTAAGCGTGACAACTGTGGCAAATATAGGGATGTTCAGTGAACTTTAATAGGCTACCGTAACGGAAGTCTTATTCAAGTTCTTATTACACATAAATAAAATCGAGTGTTTGTGTGTAACATTGAAATAACTGGCGTCTATTAGGCCCAGGGGATTATTTGTATGTCGTCAAGATATAAACAACAATTTTTGAAAGAAAGAAACAGATTTTTATTTGGCCATTTCTTAATTAATTATATATAGGTAAGCCTATAATTGGACTTAATTATACACTTAAAATGAAAAATAAATCGTTTTGACAAAATGCAGGTAAGTATAAAATAAAAAAAGCGAATAGCTCACCTTAAAAACTTGTTATATGGGAAATGGTCCCAATAGGACCGCCACTATGCAAGCAGGACCTCCTCCAAATAGGACTGATATATAAAGATGTGTCATCCTAGCCCTGGTTTTCAGATTTCATTCTTAAAATTTTATATCTGTCTGTCTCGTCTAATTTTCGGAATGGCTGAACGGCTGAATCGAGTGTGATGAAACTTTACCAATAGTTAGGGAGCAATACCAGGAGGGATCTAGGCTATATTTAATCCGAAAACCTTGAATTAAATAATTAAAAATTAAAAATTTAGTACAACCAACATCCATATAAAGTATTAAGAATAACTCAAAAACTATTGGCCAGACCTTGATCTTGATATGGGACCACATGTGAAGCACCAACTTTCAAATAAAAAAAGATTCATCATAATCGCTTCACTCAGTAAAAAGTTATGAGGTAACACACATAAACAGGTACAGTTGAATTGAGTACCGGCTCCTTTTTGAAGTCGCTAGAAAAAAAAAAACTCAAATATTTATAAAATAAATAAGTCTTTGATTATCATAAATTTAAATAACGACACATTAATAGGTCCTATTCAAGCGCAGTCGGAGCGGGTTAGTCAGTCGCAGTTAAAAATAATAAATGTAATGTTTTCTTTCTCATTCTTAAGATTTTATGCGAAGATTCCTGGTTCTCCATATAAGGTTTCTCTTAAAATATGTACCTTCATCAAAAGTACTTAATGAAGCTACTTTTTAATGATGACTTTCACTTGCGCTTACTGTCGTATGCCGTGATAAAACGATAATTGACGTGACGTCACAAAGAAGTGGTAAAGGTCAACGAAGTTTTTGTAGGATAAGTATTTATAATATCATAAACTTACGAGGGCGAAAGTGAAAGTTTTTAGAACTGGCCATTTGTAAACGATACAATAAAAAAATAAGTTCAAAGTGCTTGGGATCCCATAATTAATAAAATTAAATCCCAACCCAAGCATACAACTGTAACGCTTCAAGATACTGTAAGTTCATACTGCGTAAATCGGAACAAAAATTAATAATTTTTAATCTGGAGGTAGCCCTGGTTAACTATGACATTGGGACGTCATACACCTCAGTCCCCATGGGCCAGCCAGTGACTATGGGTGCTGGAAAGTGCTCGAAACGTCGGGAATATAAAATAAATTAATATACGCGATAAAATCCGTAAAATTAGTTTTATTTACAAATAAGTTCAAATTTTGAAAATGGAACTCTTTGCTAATATTATTGTGTATATATTTTATTAATTTGTCATTTGTTTACTGTGAGTGTAGAGAACCGGAGACCCTTTTTACTGGAAACGAGGCATTCCATCTTAGTCCTCACGGGTGACAACGCATCTGCATTTTGATTCTTTATTGCAGATAGATGTGGATGTCTATGGGTCACAGCAACCACTTACTATCATGTGGACTGTGTGCTCGTTTGTCACCTTCATTCTATAAAGAAAGCCTAGATGACATTGCTCTCTATTTTCCGTAACGTTTCATCACAATCAGTTTATCCATTCCGATGACTAACCGAACAGACAGAGAGACAATTTTTTTTAAATGTTTGTTTATATCTTAATGCCATGCTAATAAACTTCAGAGCTTAATGAAGCCAGTTATTTCAATATTACAGACAGACACTTCAATTTTATTTATAGATAAGTGAAATAAGATTCCTTATGATACATTAGTGGATGCGTCAAAGTTTTATCTACCGACTTCAAAAAGGAGACGGTACTCAATTCGACTGTATGTTTTTTTTATGTGTGTTTCCTCATAACTTTTTACGAGGTGAACCGATTTCGATGATTCTTTTTTCATTTGAAAGCTGGTGCTTCACATGTGGTCCCTTTTAGTTGGTTTTTTTTTAAATAATCTAACTTGATTAAGCTCTGACCAATAGTTGTTGAGTTATTCTTGATAATTTATATTGAAGTTGGTTGTACAACGTTTTTAATTTTAAATTATTAGAATTACTTTTAAATTTCTTTATGTCTGCAAGTGGAGAAGGATATTTCATATTTTTATATGATTTGTAATGTTATGGTGGTATAATAGAATCCACTTCCTCATCTTATTCCGTGGATGTTGAAAGAGGCGACAGAAGGAAACTGAACTAGGAGATATCACCACCTTCCTGATAACAGTTTAAATAATAAAAAAACTGCGATTGTCAGGCCGCCATGTGTGGTAACTATTGTAAATATCCCCCCTATCAGGCAATCTGGGAAGCCTATGTTCAGCAGTACACTCTGAAAGACAGCCGTATTAATTAAGGAAATACTTTTATATGGCAACTATGTGTCCAATGAAGCTGTAGAAGCCTGAAAACTGGCTTACAGTATCTATTAACACCACGGTAAATAGAGCGGGCATGGTGACAGTTCATGTGTAATAGTGTTCTGTAGATTTTGTTCTCTACTCTCATTAGAGAGTAGTATATTCCTTACATTAGTATCTTCACAATTTATCTACTAATTGATTTATATAATACATTGGAATAAAAGCTGATACCTACAGATATTCTTTCGTTGAAGAAATTATTGATTTTTCATTTAATTTAAAAGAAGAGATAAGCGGGAACGAACATTGTGACACGGGATTTTTATATAATGATTTCTTACATTTACACGAACACTAAAAACCAGTTTTATTTATATTAAATACATAAACACTCACATCTGTTTATTTAAACAGGATTTTTTTATATTAAATATCATTAGATATCACTATGACACACAGAATTCATAAAAATTAAAAAAGAATTGTTTCAGAAATAAATTTCGACACAGAAATTAAAATACTTGAATTATAATGAAACATTAAAACTAAGAATAGTATTTAGCTTTCGTTCAAACTCAGGTCGCTGATAGGTACGCCGTAGAACAGCTTCCTGATCTCATTCACGGTCTTGGAGACGATGACGTCGACGATGGGCGGGGCCATTTCTTTGAAGATGTCGCGCCAGTTGTTGTTTGCGTACTCATGGATGTTGTCAGCTAGAAGATGAAAAAGATTAGGCTAGTAGCAGAAATTAAATTGAATTAGACGATCGTTACTGAGTGTGCCAATAATCCGGGTTCGATTCGAATTTTAAGTGGTAATTTACCACGTGATGAGCCGTAAATGAAAACGTCCTAAGGTAACCAGTGTGTCTTTTTTTAATCTATAGTATAAGGGTGACAAACGAGCACATAGTCCACCTGATGGTAAGTGGATACAGATGCCTTGTCACCTCTGAGAACTAAGATGGAAAACCTCTTTTCTCCTGGTATTCTGTGAGACCGTGATCCTACCTCGGTTGAACCAACATATTCGTGCTACAACCATTATGTAACTGCAGCGTGGCTCTATCACGTGTGAAAAATCTCCTAATCTTGATCCCTTATCTTATTCGTGTCTGGTATGGTGGACATTGAAACTTTGAAACTTAGAAGGGCAGTGTCTCAAGTCATGCAATATCTGTCCATAATTCATAATAGGATTGATAGTCCCCAAATACTAGAGCGTGTCCGCATCTTGGTCCCTGGGAACGTGTCAGCAAACTCGCAGGGACAGGTGGCACCGCGGCGCCGCCCGCGACTGCTGGAGCCCCCCCCCCTCCCCCCGCGCACGTACCGAGCGCGCTCGTCAAGCGCCCACCAACCGCGCACTCCGCATTATTGGGGACATACTGGCACAGCACAACGAGCTAGACTTATTTGCCGATAAATTAGGACATTTGTATAAAGAAATTCAAATAATTTTAAATAAATTCTAGCCATCAAACTTACGTATATTGTTTTCATAATTAATTATTATAATTGCTTTTCTTATTTTTTATTTTTTTTTATTATTATTATTGCTATTTTATTTTAATATTAATGTATTTATGGACTCAGATTGTATTTTTTATGATTTCTTTTCTATGATATTATTGATGTATTGTTAATTAGGATATTGTAAAATAATTTTGCTATTACCTATATATAGACGAGGATGTGTAATACCGAATTGTTAATCTTATAAGCGTTTTGGATGTGTCATCTGTTAGCTTGTAAAAAATAAATAAATAAATAAATAAATAAATGGGAAAAGTCGCTGACGACAGTAAATTCGACAATGTGTTCATGCGTAACAGAAACATAGTTTCTTTGTTTTTTTACTTTAATTTTTTTTAAATATTTATCGTAGAGGCAGTTTACATAAATAAATTTAACAAGTACAAGCATCCAGACCTGGAACAACTATTTGTACGTCATACAGATACTTGCCCCGTGCGGGATTCGAACGCGCGGACCTCAGCGCCGCAACTTATTGCTAAGCCACTGGCGCCACGGAGCCGTCAAATATAGTACAAGTCGCGGCACGTAAGTCTAGCGCTCAACGAAACGTGAGCCAATCAGCGTGCGGAATGCGACTGGAGAGCCAATCAGCGCGTGCAAACGATACGCACGCCCGTTCCGCGACCCGCTTACTACCCCATGATACTTTATTTTCGACTTATGCGCAATAACGTTTACCGCTAGACTTACGTGCCGCGACTTATAACTGTGTATACTAACCAAACAGCTTGTTTCCGCCAAACAGGTTCTGGAATTGGAAATGAACCCCGGTGCGTACATCTGCAGCATAGCGATAGGTATCCAGTGACCAATAGCGCTGTCCGTTTGCCTCCCGCTTGTTAAAGTTGAAGTCTATCTGCACCACGATATCACCTGCAATGAAGATAAACCAGTTACATTTAGTTTTAATTTTAATTTGTACATGGTACAATAAGTTGATGCATTATAAAATTTATGATCATTATCGTGTCTTACCGGCAACGGAGCAGAAATAGCGCAATAAATAAGTTTTGGTTTTATTTTTAATCATTACAAAAAGCATAAAGGTAGAATAACATGAGGTCAGTAAAATATTAGATATTTTAAAAGTTATAATAATAATAATACAATTAACAAAGAATGAAGTATAAAGTCATACACAAAAGTTTAAATCATTATGAACAGTAATAAGTGAAGAAATTAGAGAATCATTGATATTTTTTGTTAAGCGGCGGTGTAAGAATATCCACTACCCCATATGGTCCCGTGGGTGTCGTAAGAGACACAGGTGATGTGCAGCAGTATCGTCCTGATGAAAACTTAATATAATAAGAAACTGCGGTTGTCAACCCGTTCGCCCAGCGTGTCAACTATGGCTAAATCCCGTAAAAGAGGCTATATTCAGCTCTAAATCTATCTATAGAGGAGGCCTATGTTCAGCAGTGGACTTTTATAGCCTGTGATGGATGGATATTTTTGATATTAACAGGTGTTTTTTTTATTAATTAATATGTCAGCCAAGAAAAAAGTTATTTGTTAATTGAAGAAAAATAAAATATACTTAATTGAATTAATTTACCTATAGTGTCACTTTTGTACTTTATTTTATATGTCAGAAAATAAAAACATCGTTCAAGGAGCCACTTAGTATAGAATAGAATAGAATAGAATAGAATAGAATGATTTTTATTCAATATGGATTATTACATAATACTTATTGAAAGTCATTATTTTATTTACCACTGGTTCGGAAAATACCTCTGTCCTGGGAAGAACCAGCAAGAAACCCAGCGGGACTTTTTTTTTTAAACATAATTTCACTTAACAATAATTTTGTTTATACAATTTTAAATGAATTTTCATAGAACCAGCATGGTGGCGATCACCTTATTCCCAGGGGTTATTTTCATTCATGTATTCCTTGATATTATAATAACCCTTTTTGTACAGTTTTTCTTTAATAAAACTTTTAAACTTGTTTATTGACAAACTTTGAACATGTTCTGGGATTCTGTTGTAAAAGCGTATACATTGCCCCATAAATGAATTACTAATTCTGTGGAGTCTTGTAAGTGGCATTACAAGCTTATGTTTGTTCCTAGTGTTTAAGGTATGAACATCCTTATTCTTATTAAAGCTATTTATGTTTTTATGTACATACATTACATTTTCATAAATATATTGCGATGCCAAAGTTAATATGTTTATTTCTTTAAATTTTTCTCTAAGGGACTCTTTACAATTTAGATTATAAATCGCCCGTACGGCTCTCTTTTGCAAAACAAATATAGCTTCAATATCAGTCGCATTACCCCATAGCAAAATTCCATAAGACATTACGCTATGAAAGTAACTAAAATACACTAACCTAGCTGTCTCAACATCTGTGAGACTTCTAATCTTTCTTACAGCATATGCTGCAGAACTAAGTCTGCTTGCTAATTTAGATATATGGGGGCCCCATTGAAGTTTCGCGTCAATAGTAATACCGAGAAAAACAGTGGTATCCACAAGACTCAACTCCTCCCCATTTAAGAGCACATTGGTTTTCGAATGTTTTACATTAGGTATTGTAAATTTAATACATTTTGTCTTATTGCCGTTTAAGAGCAAATTGTTAGCGTTAAACCAATGTACTAGTTTCGATAGAGCATTATTTACATCGTCATATTTAATTGACTGCCGTTTCAGTTTGAAAATTAAAGAGGTATCGTCAGCAAATAATACTATATCGTGATTGTCCCCTACAAGATAAGGTAAGTCATTAATATAGATTAAGAACAGGAATGGGCCAAGAATCGAGCCCTGAGGAACGCCCATTGATACTACTGATCCGGAGGAACATTTACCATTAATGACGACTTTTTGAGTTCTGTTACTTAAATATGAAGTAATAAGTTTAAGCGCCAAATTTTTTACACCGTAATGTTGTAGTTTCCTGATTAATGTATCATGATGAACACAATCGAAAGCCTTGGAAAGGTCACAGAAAATACCTAAGGCATCTTGTGAATTCTCCCAGGCATTAAAAATATATTTCATAAGCTCAACACCAGCGTCAGACGTCGAGCGACCCCTTGTAAAACCAAATTGATTTTTATGAAGTAATTTATTTGTATTAAAAAAAATTAACAATTGATCCAAAATTATTTTTTCAAAAATTTTACTGAGAGTTGGTAGTACAGAAATAGGTCTATAATTAGCGGGGTCCAATGTACTACCAGATTTAAATAAAGGTATTACTTTACTATACTTCATTAAATCAGGAAACACACCAGAATCGATACAAGTATTAAAAATAATAGCAAGATGAGGTGCAATTAAATCTATTATGGACGCAATCACTGTAACGGAAATCCCCCACAAATCTGCGGTTTTCTTTACATCAATGGTTTTGAAGTATTTTACAATATTATGCGGTAATACTTTTTCAAATCTAAATTCTTTTAAACAGGTATTAACATTCTGTTTAAGTAATGATTCGGCGACAGTTGGAGAAGCATTCAATGACTCTGTTGTCAAGATAGGAACATCAGTGAAATATTTCTCAAACACCGCTGCAACTTCTTGATTTGATTTAGTCAATTCATTATTAATTTTTAATTGATAGTTTGAATTACGAGGTTTCTCTTTACCGGTTTCGCTGTTAATTATACTCCACGTCATTTTAATTTTATTCTTAGCTGTCTTAATTTTGTTACTAATATGTAATGATTTGGCTGTGGAGCAAACTCTTTTAAACATTTTAGAATAATTTTTTACATATTCTTTAAAAGCATCGGAAAGATTATACGATCTTTCATGGTAAAGGTCATATAACCTTCGTCTGCTTTTATGAATTCCTACTGTCGCCCACTCATTAAATGCCTTGCGACTGTTTCTGGAGAATGTTTTAGAAGTGAATGTTTTATTAAATTCATTGTTTATAAAGGTAAATAATTCTCTATATAAATAGTCTGCATTGTTCTTATAAGAAAGGGATGGAAGGATTTTTAACATATCACTTCTAAATCTTTCCAGGCGTTTTGCATTAATAGGAACAAACACAATTTTCTCATTTACCTGTTTTTTGTGCATATAAGGTAACGAAACCAGTTGTCCACAGTGATCTGAACTAAGTTTTTGTATTATTGATTTGTTGATTGGTACAACACCTGTAAAAATATTATCAATACAAGTTGCACTACACCCTGCAATACGTGTAGCTTCAAAGAATAAATTATTAAGATTATAGGATTTGAACAAAGAACAGAATTTAATACTGATGGAAGAAGTTTCCAGGAGATTGATATTAAAGTCTCCACACACTACAAGAGATTTATTCTGTTTATTAAGCTTAACTAAAACTTCTTCCATAATTTTTTCAAAAGTATCATATCTTGAACATGGGGGTCTGTAAACACTGACAACAATAAGGTGCTCAAGCTCAACACATGCCATTTCTACAGTACGCTCAACAGAGAGGCTCACAATGTCTTTACGTTCTTTACATGATAAGGACTTATTAGCTAATATTAAGGAGCCACCACGTAATTTAGTATCTCTATTGAACGAACTGACCACCTGGTGATTACTGAAATTAAATATGGAGTTGTATTCTTTCAACCAATGTTCTGTAATACATAAAATATTTATACTGTTACTATTTAAAAATAAATCAATTTCTAATTCTTTGCCTAACATACCTTGTATATTTTGATGCACCAGGTTGATACAGTTTTTATTATTGTTATTTTGTAAAATTGCATAATTATGTATTGGTAAGTTGCATTCTAAGCTATTTAAATTATCTTTGCTAGAGATTACCTCTATTGTCTTATTATCTAATTTAAATTACTTGGAACTGGTTCCAAATCAAATATAAAATTATTTTGTTGCTCAAAAGAAGCAGGTGTCAAGGTAGCCAAATCATTGGCTGAGTTAAAATATAAATAATAAGATAGCGTATTTGCTACCAGTCTTAAACTATACTTTGATAGGTAATACCTATCTCTTGTCAAAAACTTCTTAGTTAAATTATTAATATCAATTAAATGAAATTTATCATTATTATTCTTACAATTAAATGTCAAATTTAAGTTATTGTTACATGTCAAGTTATGCATCATTAAATTTAAATTATGTCTTAGTTTATTTTCCTGTGGCCACCCCTCTATGTAAGGCAATGTAAACAAGATAACTTTAACCACATTTATGTTATTGAGATATTCAATATATTTTAATAATTGATTCTTGTTCATATTGCCTCTTCTCCCAACAAAAATTATTAATATACTATTAGGGTTAAATTTACTAGTTAAAATTTTATTCATAATATCACTGAATGATGCTCCAGGCATGCAGTAATTACTTATCTGTTGCCTTTTTAAACAGTTATTCAATGATATACCCAAGTTTTTGCCTATGTCATCACTATACACAATTATATTATTTTTTTCATTATATAGATTACTTTTTAAATTTATCTGCTTTGTTATGGTACTATCATAGAGTGTAGGTAAAGAAAATGAAGTATTACTGCTTGTCATATTAGTAACACACACTGTCCCTAAAGAACCTGGCAGTGAGCGCTGATATTCATTTTGATATTTTAATAAGGAGTCAAAACGTTCCTCGTTATATTTGCAGGACTTTACCAGATTATCCATGGCCAGTATGTGTTCTTTTATCTCATTCCCTGCAGATTTATATTTATTTGACATAATTTGTAATGAGGTTTGAAGTGATAAAATTTCTGAATTAAGACACTCTATTTCAGTCTCATAACAATTTTTCATGTTTTCCACCTCAATTGAATATAATTTAATTTTACTAATTAACTCTTGCTTTTCCTTACATACATTTGTATAATTTTTAATATTAATTTTAGTTTTAACTAATTTTTGCACTTTCCTAATATATTTATTAATTTTTATATATTTTTTTAATTTCCTTCTGCTGCTTGTAATCCTTTCTGCTGTTCTTGATGTGGTAGAATCATCAGTCAAATCTATTGTTGTGGAGGGTTGCAACGTTTTATGAAATTTACATTCTACGAGCTCCTCGAACAGACTCTGAGTTTTAAGTGCATGCAAGTTATCAATGTTTTGTTTAAATTGTGAAATTTGCTCATTAGCTTCAGTTAATTGTAATTTCAATGCAGCAATTAATCTGAGGGATTTCTCATATTCTTTGCTGCATCGGTCAAACTCATCGACTGTCCTCTGGAGCTGATCCCTTTCCTTTAAAATATCTGTATAGTCTCTATGTAACTTAACCATATCACTTTTCAATTGAGTATTTTTCGAAATTATACTTATTATTTCCTTTTCGTTGTCATCCCTTTCTTTAAGTAACAGCTCACACTGCTCCCTGGACGCTCTCAGTTCTTGGAGCGCAAGATGGAGTTGGTTCTCCATCTGGCGCGTTTTGGCGTTACGAGTATTCATTTTACTATGTATTTTAAATAGTAAAAGAAAACAAAGATGGAAAATCAAGGGAACAGAGTAAGCAAATATCCAATTATAGGACTCTAATTACAGATCTCAAATTAAATTATCAAGAAAACAATTCAAAATGAAATCCGAAAACAACAACACTTAAGAGATATATCGTAAATATTAAAAGGGATAACAAGAATTACAGTAACTTTTAAACGATGTTCGTTACCTGCTGTCACTTTAAGTTGAGAGGCACTAAAAATTTATTTATTTAAATATTTACCACTTTTATTTATTACACAATAAAATTTGTTCGTAATTAACAACTATAACGTAAATGAAAGTTCTTCTAAATATTTGTTATAAAATATCATCAGTTCAAAAGCGATATAACAGCGCAAGAAAACCCATCAGTGTAATTTGTTCCATGGGAATCGTGAGGGAATACCCTCACAACTAAGAGGCAACCATAGGAAATACCAAAAATATCAAATGATTTCTTGTATTTACGCGAACTATAATTTTTCGGATTTTATCGCGTTTCATTTTAACTTTTTTTGAGTAAGGTAAAGGCACCTATTTCCGCGGTACTTTTACTAAAATCGAAAGGAAATCGAAAATTAAGCATTTCTTGTACCCTTTTGAAGATTTGGCCACTTTATCAGAACCATGATTGTCTCTACTCTTGAAATAGACAACAGAATTGGATATTAAATGTTGATTTGTATTCTAAATTAATTAAATATTAAATTAAATCGAAGACACCTTATTCCGATGTGAAAATCCTTATTCCCATGTATTTGGTTCCTAGTAGCGAGTGTATAAAATGCAAACAAAAAGGTAAGGAAGAATAATATAGGATCAGGGTGACAAATGAGCACACAGTCCACCTGATGGTAAATGGTTGCTGTTGCCGATAGCCATTTACATCTAGCCTCGTTTCCGAATCTAAATGCAGATGCGTTGTCAGCGTTCCAGTAAAAAGGGTCTCCGGTGCTCTACACTCACCATACAGCATTAAGCTGCTATTTGTGCTACAACTATACAATTAATATAGCTGCAGCTTGGCTCTACTACGTTTAAAATGTAGAAGGCTTTGACAAAAATTAAAAATGTGTAAAAAATTGAAGTTTACAGCACTGAGACAATGTTTTCTGTGTATATCGTTCATAAGAGTACACTAGAAACTGAAAAACTTATTATAAAACCGCAACTTTTCAATGATGATGACTGGGTGGCAATAGGTGTATACTTAATTACTTCACAGTTTTGTAGGCGTGATAAATATAACTATGCCAAATTACAGATTTGCTACAAATATTCTATAAGTAGGATACCTAGGAACCTAGGATGTCTGAGTAAAAAACCGCGCGCGGACGAACAGACGTACATGGCGAAATTATAAGGGTACTTTGTTGTTTAAGTACCGAACCCTAAAAATAAGGCAAATACATTGTCACAAGTTGTTCAAAGAAAATATCTAATTTATTATATAGTGAAACAGGATATTATTAAAATATAAAAGTAGGCTTTTACACAGTACTAAAATTTTGTTAAATTTGAACCCAGTCATGGTTGAGAATACGAGTACATACTGCAATTTATTCTGAATTACTTTTAAACACGGTAGAGCCATGCTGTAGCTATATTAATTGTATAGTTGTAGCACGAATGGGTCGGCTCAACCGGGGAAGGACCACGCTCTCACAGAACACCAGCGTAAAATAGCAGCTTAACGCTGCTGTGTTTCGTATGGTGAGTGTAGAGAACCGGAGACCCTATTTACTGGAAAATTTATATTAGGCATTATATCTTAGTTCCCACGGCTGACAACGAAAATCTACGTTTTAATTCGCAAACGAAGATAGATGTAGATGTCTATGGGCGACAGCAATCACTTACCATCAGGTGAACTGTGTGCTCGTTTGTCATCCTATCCAATTAAAAAAAGTTCACCTTTGTCTCAATAGCGACATTTGGTGAGCGTAAGATTATTAGTCCTCTTTGATACGTACGGATATTGATTTTGTATCTGCCCTGCCCTTCGATTGGCATTATCAAGAGATGTCCGCCAAGCTTGTAGTCCCCAATGAGCGTCACGGAGCACTGCAGCTCCAGCCTGGTGCTTTGCGTGTACCGTCTAGTGATGAACATTGTTATTAGGGCATAGTGTAATGGAATTAAAATTATTAATCTTAAAAAAACCGTTTTTAAAAACTAACAAACATTTATTAAAAAAATCGACCGAAAGAGTTTAGTTACATTCTGATCTTAAAGTAAATAGTACAAGGGATCAACCATGGATCCTTTCAGGCACAATGAGAAGAAGATTTATCCCGATATAATAAATAAAAGAGATGGTATGAATTAAATTATATAGGTACAACAATGTGACTAGTATTATTTACATAATGATTTCTTATTTGAATAAAACTGTTATTTTATCGCGTATATTAACTTATTTTATATTCCTTACTTCTCCCATAAATCCAAGCTTCTACAAGCGGTACGTAAACACACTTTCACAATTCTACTTTTAGATAAATTTACTGCATTTTTAGACCATCTTAACTGCATAAATTCTAAAATTCAGTTTACAATGGAGTTATAGGCAAACGATTTCATAGCTTTTTGAGATGTGTTAGTAATTCCAAATCCTGATAACATCTTGAGCCACACTGTGTATAGAAAAAGGACCCATACAGATAGATGTTTAAACGGTGATTCACCACCATCCTTCGTAGTTAGCTACCGTGGGTAAATCTTTGTTTCAGAGAGCACGAAGGATCTGTGACAGTAAACACATGGCTGCCGACTCCTACACGTCAAGCAAGTTTTGCATGACAACAAGCTTTGGGTCCCGCGCCTATGTCACAGTGAACGAGTGAAGCCGGCCACAGTCGAGCGAGTACCTGCTGTACAGCCATATGGCAGAGGTGTCACTGACAAGATTGGCTACATCTTGAAGCGTGCTTCCATTAAAACGTACATCAAGCCGCCGAAGAAGATTAGTTATATTTTACCATCAGTCAAGTGTAATGTCCCTTTGCAAGATGCAGGAGTGTACAAGCTTGATTGTGAATGTGGACTCTCTTATTCAATAGGTCAAACTAAAAGATCAATAAAAACGCGCGTTAAAGAACACATAGCTGATGTGAAAAATAGACGCTCCGGGAAGTCTGCAGTCTGAAAAGGTACAGGATCGCCTCCGTCACTACATTAGATTTGGTAGACCACAAATGCTCGCTAAAGAACACCGATTCCTTCCAAGGATGATTCGCGAGGCTATTGAAATTAAAAAACATCCGAATTTCAATAGAGAAATGCTGGGTGCTACAATCTGCTTGGGATCCTATAATTAATAAAATTTTATCGCAACCCAAGTATACTTCAAGATACTGTAAGTTCATACTGCGTAGATCGGAACAAAAATTTATAATATTAATCTGGAGGTAGCCGTGGTTAACTATGATACAGAGACGTCTAACACCCGTGGTAATGGGTGCTGTAAAGTGCTCGAAGCGTGGTGAATATAAAATAAGTTAATATACTTGATGAAATCCGTAAAAACTAGTTTTATTCAAATGTGTAGTTATCGTGTAAATATAAGAAATCATTAAGATTTCTTATTTTTCGCGAATACTAAACACATAATAAAACAAATTTAATGGATTTTATTTTATTATTTTATTGTTCCCCACTTTTGTATTATATAATTTTATGAATAAAATAATCTCAATTTAATTTCAGTGTTTGCCAAAGGATCGACGAAGACCTCTGAAAAGTCGTTATTTAATTATTATCTTAGTCATTGTTATTGCTTAATTTATATTTCATTCATTATATGAAGGTAAATTCATTCAATATTTTATTTTATTTTATCATTTAAATACTCTTATAAACTATTTTAAATAATACTATCTTATGTAGTTTTAGTTTATTGATAGAAGAAAAACTGAGTATAGCTTCATTTTTATTTGATTCTAGTAGTTTATTATATTTTTATTCTCTTTATGGACGCGACCAAGTGGCCGGAAAAGTGCATTATTGGTCGGGAATGGTTTGGAATTTAGAAGATTTAGTCCATTTTAACGGCTCGACCCTTGTATTGACGAAATAGACCTAACAACTTTTTGCAAGGTAGAGACACCGCAATTTAAGCTGTCTCGCCAGCAAGGCAAAGTCAGAAATTTCATACCTTGCAGTAAGGTAATGGTGGTCCTGGACCCGATAATTCCCAGAATATTACCGTCATCTACGCGACGATCAATAATCTTTCAGCACTTAATTCCTTGCTAGTAATATTTATAGTATATCTACTAGCTGTTCCCCGCGACTTCGCCCGCGTGTCGTTTAGCGTTTTAATTATGTTGCACGGAACCCTAATTATTTTTTTTAATATATGTAGCCTAAGTTACTCCTTATAACATCAGCTATCTGCCAGTGAAAGTCCCGTCGGAATCGGTCCAGCCGTTTCTGAAATTAGCCGGAACAAACAGGCAGACAGACAGACAGACAAAAATTTAAAAATTGTGTTTTGTTATAAGTATCGTATATCCTTTCATATGCATTTATTAAAAAGCTGTTATTTTTACATTACCAACAGACACATCAATTTTATTTATTTGTAATGGGTTTTTCAACAAGAACTTTGTTTTCTAAAACAAAATAAAACAAAGAGTTTAGGTGAAGATGATTCAAATTTTTATTGTATTACGAAAAGAAAAGTTTGGCAATTATGACTGAAAAATGATATCTGCCAAATGTCCACCACGACCACGCTGACAAATGTCGATTCTTTCATCAAAGTTTTTAATCACTTTTTGGCAAAATGGCGGGTCTATTTCGTTAATCACGTCACGGATTTTGAGTTTTAAGGCCGCGATCGATTCGATTGGCTCCGTATAGACTCTGTCCTTAACATAGCCCCACAAAAAATAATCCAGTGGTGTTAAATCACACGATCTGGCTGGCTATTTAACAGCTGAATTTCGTGAAATTATGCGATCGGGAAATTTGGTTTGCAATAAATTGATCGTTTCGTTGGCTGTGTGACATGTGGCACCGTCCTGTTGAAACCACATGTTTGTGATATCGATGTCATCAATAATAGGCCAAAATTGAGATGTTAACATCTAGCGATAGCGTGATCCATTAACCGTTACCGCATTTCCAGCCTCATCTTCGAAAAAACACGGCCCAATCACGCATCCAGACCACATAGCGCACCATACAGTGACACGTTGAGCATGCAAAGGCTTCTCAATAATCGCTTTAGAATTTTCAGAAGCCCAAATGCGGCAATTTTGCTTGTTGACGTACCCTGACAAGTGAAAATGGGCTTCGTCTGAAAAAATGATTTTTTCAGAAAAACCAGCGGGCTGTTCCTGAATGAATTGAGCGAATCAACGGCGATGTGAATGGTCGGTCAGCTTCAATTCCTGCACCAGTTGAACCTTGTAAGGCTTCAAAGACAAATCCTTATGCAAAATTCGCCAAGTGGTGGTTTTGGATAACCCCAATTGTTGAGAACGTCGAGGAATTGACAAATTTGGATCTTCTTCAACACTGTGGCTCACGGCTGCGATGTTTTCGGTTGAACGACCCGGTCGAACACGCGTTGGTGTTGGTGCATTTTGTACCGAGCCTGTCGATTCAAATTTAGCGACCAAATTCTTAATAGCGGTCTCAGAAGGACGATTATGTTGTCCGAAAATTTCACAAATTTTACGAAACGTAACTTTAACAGAACCACCATTTTCATAGTGGATTTTAATTATTTTAATGCGATTTTCGAGCGAAATTGAATTCATTGTAGCAATTGCCAAAGCATCCACTACGAATAGGTCAAAAAACTAAATGTCAAAACTGTCATGTTTTTGGTGTTGCCCCAATTGAAAAACAAAGTTCTTGTTGAAAAACCCTTTATAGTTTATCGTCACTGCGTTGCTAGCGATACGTTTTGCCAGCAACAAAAAATTTCAACAGTTCGTTGCGGTGTAAATTTTAGAGCATCTAATTTTTAAACTTGGCAACTAATTAGCACCTAAAAAGCCCTTGGTTTTGACTTTTTCTAAATGCAAATTTCTGACTTTGCGTCGCAGGCGAGACGGGGCTCGCAATTTATCAATTTGCTACAAGATTCTAGATTCTAGGTGTTCTCCTAAACCCTACGTTCTAGTCCCATTGAACTTAGAAAATATATTTTCTGATTTACAAAATATTTTATAAAATATTTTTACAATCACTTACTCGATGTTTATCACCTCACAGTTTCTAAGGCCTCTGACTATGGTATTTCTGAACTCCATCTGCAAGCCAGACTGGGTGGCGGAAACAACTTCCAGCGTCATTGGGTCCAGCGGCTGCATGCCGAGGCTCGTCACCCCAGCAGCTATGACCGGCAGCGCCCGCTGTGTCGACTGCTTCAGGCACTCCCTGTCCCAGGAGTTGCATGGAGTGATAAAAGGTGCTGGAAATAAAACATTTAAGTTCTTTAGCATATAAGTTGCACCGGGGAAAGACCACACTATCACAGAATAGAGACCTATGTTCAGCAGTGGACTTTGACAGGTTGTAATAATGATAATAACAGTGATGATGATATGTTGAGACAGATTTCTGTAACAGACAGACAGAAAGACGGACGGACTACGAGACGATTCCATAAGTTTTACGTTTTACAGATTTTAGCGTGGATCCTTATACAGGGTTATTTTCCAGGGAGTAGCCAAATTGTAAAGGTAAGTTCAAATATATAAATAATGATATAACGTTGTTGTAGTTTTTGAAAATACGACTAAATAAGATTCCTACTTTTATTTAAAATTATCCCAAATTGAATGTGATTTATGGATAACAACGTTTTTACTTACTGATCGACCCTTACGAATGTGTGCGTGCGCAATAAAATCAAATTTTTTTATATAGGAGAGGGGGCAAACGGCCGTGCGGCTCACCTGATGGTAAGTGACTACCGCCGCCCATGAACAACTGCAACACCAGTGAACCAGGGGAATTGCAGATGCGTTGCCGGCCTTTTAAAAAGGAGTAAGCTCCTTTCTTGAAGGTCCCTAAGTCGTATCGGTCCGGAAAAATCGCTGATGGTCATCGATTCCACAAGGAAGTTGTGCGAGGAAGAAAACATCTTCTAAATCGCACAGTGGTGGACCGCCATTCATCCAGATGGTGTGGATGGTATCGGGAGTTCTGCCGCGATGTGAAATTTGGCGGCTGCAATTAATCCGAACAATTCCTCAGAGCACTCCCCGTGGTCAATGCGAAAGAAAATGCAAAGGGATGCAACATCTCTTCGGATCTCGATCGGAAAGGACTCGGTCGTCGACGATTCGAGCCGCTCTGCGCTGGATGCGGTCAAGTGGAAGGAGCTGGCACTGGGGTGCCCCGGTCCAGAGATGGGAACAGTATTCCATGTGAGGCCGAACCTGCGCCTTGTAAAGTTGCAGGCGTTGTGCCGGCATGAAGTGCTGTCAATTTGGCCTTCTCTTCCAAGTGACCATGAAACTGCACGTCACTCGATATGTCGACGCCGAGGATTCCAATACTGGCTGAGGCAATAAGGGGAGTGCCTTGAAACTGAGGAGATACGACAAAGGGGTTCTATAACAATACATTAACACGCATTTTGAATTTAAAAGATAAAAAGGACAGAATGTTTGAGATCTTTTTTAATTAATTTTTCCTCTCCATTTGCCTATATTACTTATTCTGAACCTTCTCTGCAAATTTGACCGGTTATTGCAAAATAACCCTGTACATAGGAGATATATAGGAGACTACGTTACTTCATAATTTAAAAAAGAATATTATTTCATTTTATGTTTTTAAATTAAGAACTTAAATTGTATTTCTTATTTAAGATCTTACATAAGAGTTTTTTTTTTAATATAATTACCGGCCCATGGTCACTACTTTCGTCTATCTCCGCTAGGATTTGTTAGATGGTAGGACCCTTTTCTGTCTATAAGTCTATCTAGGTAGGTCTACCCTATTTTTGTGGCCAAATAGTGATGCTTGCACTGCTGAGTTCCAGTTGCAAGGGTATATAGACCTAATATATTGACGGCTCCGTGGCGCAGTGGCTTACAAATGAGTTGTTGCGCTGGGGGCCGCGGCTTTGAATCCCGCACAGAACAAGTATTTGTATGGCCTAAAAATAATTGCTCCGGGTCTGGATATCTGTCCGTGTGCAATTTATGTTTGTAAACTGTCTCCACGATACGGGAGAAAATCCTAGTGTGGTGGTAACGTTTTAAAATAAATAAGAAATAAATAAGAAAGAAAAATATAATTACAGCCTGAGGTGGAACCCAACTTAGTCTTATGAAGTACCAACGCATCTGTAGCCTTGTTTGTTTCAAGCTAGTATACGTGGTAGAGCCATGCTGCAGCTATATTAGTAGTATAGTTGTAGCACGAATGCGTCGGCTCGACCGAGGAAGGACCACGCTTTGACAGAATACCAGCGTAAAATAGCAGCTTAACACTGCTGTGTTTCGTATGGGGGGTGTAGAGAACCGGAGACCCTTTTCCTGGAAACGAGGCATTCCATCTTAGTCCTCACGGGTGACAACGCATCTGCATTTTGATTCTTAATCGAGGATAGATGTCAATGTCTATGGGTCACAGCAACCACTTACCATCAGGTGTCCTATAAAGAAAAAGTTGGTTGTAAGTTTCCATGGGCTGCAGTAACCACTTACTATCAAGTCGACTGTAGTTTCATTTGTCTCTCCAGTTCAAAAAAGAAAAATCATCGATGAAGAACCCCTGAGGACTAAGATGGAATGTCTCATTACCAGTAAAAAAAATCTGTGTTTGATTACAGAGTAAATAGTAGTACCTACGTTTAATGTTCATGAAATCGCGTAAAACTGAACGCTTTAATGTATTTCGAAGCAACGAGTTTCCGTTTTCTAATGGATTGCTATTTTTAAAACAACGGTTACACTCAAGTAAAATACGTCTCTTGAAACTGTTTAACGACAGTTAATGTCATTATTATAAAGTAGATTTAAGATGTCGAGCAAGAATCTCGCATGTGTGCGATACTGAAAGTGATTTATTAATAGAAGTTCATTAAGAATAGATTACTTACGCGTCATTGAGTGCGTACTTCGTTAAAACTCAATCAAATTTCGATTAACACAGCTTCGTAATTGTAAAGTATTTTTAATTTATCAAGTGCTAGAGCACTTTTTCTGCCTAGAATTCCGTTTGGGTATGTCTTACCTTTTTTTACATTGGGAAATGCCTACGCATATGCGCCTCGCGGGGCAAGTAGACTCGCACCGACTAAAACCCCATGGTGTTTTATCTTCGCCGCATATTGGCAGGGCCACGGGAACGCTTTCGCCACCGGCCGCCCCTTCTCAGGGGAGGACCTCTCCTCCTCATTCTCCTTCTCAGGTAAAGCGCACCAGGAACATAAGGTACGCCCCCCTCCACGGCCTCCAACTCCACCTGCGTATCGGACCCCCCCTGAGTCCGACACGCGGAGGCCATGGTACCAGGGAAATCGAGCGCTTAATAGCACCCGCTTTCTCGACCCCAGCGGCGGATCTGGTCTCTGGCTCCGCCGTCAATCAAGTTTCGGCCGCGGAGGGTAGGGAGAGCGGCGTATTGCAATACCGACTATCCTCTACCCCCGCAGCCCCGCGGACCCCGTCATAATCGCGGAGGATAGGGCGAGTGGCGCATCGTCATACCAACACTCCTCTTCCTCCGCGACTCCACCTCGGCTGCAAGGCGGGAAAACGTTCGGGGGGGGGGGGTCTCAGTGTATTTACAGCGTAGTGGCGGCGTAAAAGATTCCACTACCTCATATTATCCCGTGGGTGTTGTGTCATAAGAAGCGACAGACGAAAACTAGTTAGGAGTTTGGCATCAGCATCTTCTCAACAGAACAGAACAATAAAAAACTGCTGTTTCCAAAGGGCCTATCAAGCATGGCTACCAACTATGGAAAACCTCCCTCTAATGGTAGACCCCGTGATGTGGTAAGCCTATGCTCAACAGTTAACTTTTGGTGGGCTAATGAATTATTCATTCTAGTTCTAATAATAGTAACGTAAGTAGGGGATAGATTCTAAATCTGCTAGAACTCGAGAGTGTCATGTGTATGGGTCGTATTAAGGTTGAGTCAAGCTTTCTAATAAATATAACACAATGCTGTTCACATGGCCGTAAGCATCAGAACGGCGAGAGGTGTACTCCGTCATTAATTTCAAATTGATCGAGTTTCTTGAGTTGGGTTCCGGTTGAAAATTTTAATGGGAATGTTACAGTGGCTGAAGGAACATATCGTAGAAAAGCGGTCTCTCAATAATGTGAAGGTTTGCCCAGCAATGGGACATTAGAGGCCGTGTTATTTAACTTATCATTAAATTTATCTTTGATACCGCATGGCATATTAGTTAGAAAAATAGCTCACTACGCTATGAGTCCGGGGTTTGAGTCACATCCTAAGCCGACAATTTATGAAAAGAAACACAAATGTCTGATTTTTATTCTTAGAAAACCTTACCTCCACTTACATATTACGTAAATAATTAAACATTGACGAGCACCTATCCTATTCATTCCTTTGTCTGATTGCGATGCTTAAAAAAAAACGTTAGTTCAACACTTGTAATTTAATAGAACAATGAAAAACACACAGACCCTTAAATGCTATTTGTAGAAATAGAAAACGAAAAACAGATAATATATTTGGCCAGAACATCATTACCATACATTTATAATAATAAACATTAAAGAGGTTTTTAAAAGACACTTACTTAAAGTGCAGGTCACACTGGAGAACAGCGTCCAGAAAGCAGCAAGCAACACCGACGCCCTCATGTTGGCAGTTGATGGATGCGGCAGGCCTTCACCACAAACAGCATAAAAACGAAGTGTGGCCGCCGAGTGACTCGCCTCTAATTTATACCGACACTGACCAACGTCCGAAGATATGAGTGATTGCGGTAAAACCGATTTATTTAATTACCGATTTTTGTAACGCGATAAAGCTACACTGCAGCCATATTATAGTTGCAGCACAAATGGGTTGGCTCGACTGGGGGAGGACTACACTCTCACAGAAAACCAGGGTACAATAGCAACTTAATGCTGCTGTGTTTCGTGTGGTGAGTGTAGAGAACTGGAGACTCTTTCTAATGGTGACACGGCATTTTATCTTGGTCCTCAGGGGTGGCAACGCATTTTGATTCTTATTTAAGGATAAATATACGTCTTTAGGCCATGGCATCCATTTAACATCAGGTGGAGTGCTCGTTAGCCACCCTTATTCTATCAAAAATATTTATAATAGTTTGTAAGGGTTAATATACATACAAGCAATAGATTTATTACTATTTCTTTTCTTTATCCACTAAAAATACGTGATAGAGTCATGCTGCAGCTATATTAGTTGTATAGTTGTAGCACGAATGGGTCGGCTCGACCGGGCAAGGACCACGCTTTCACGGAATACCAACATAAAATAGCAGCTTAACGCTGCTGTGTTTCTTATGGTGAGTGTAGAGAACCGGAAATCCTTTTTACTGGAAACGAGGCATTCCATCTTAGTCCTCATGGGTGACAACGCACCTGCATTTTGATCCGTAATCGAGGATAGATGTAAATAGATGTCTATGGGCCACAGTAACCATTTACCATCACGTGGACTGTGTGCTCGTTTGTCACCTATATCCTATAAAAAAACGATATATATTACGCGTGGTAGCAAGGTAAGTAATTTTAATGAGAACCAGCGACTTATTTTACCAATAACAAGGTATTACATCCTAGTCCTTAGGGTTGACTACGTCTACTCTTCTGCATTTTGATTTTTCTGATTTTAACTGTTCATTATCATCATCATTACAGCCTTTCACATGTCCACTGCTGAACATAGGCCACCTCCAAGGAATGCCACAAAGCACGGTCCAGAGCCACCTGCATCCATCGACTTCCTGCATGTCTTACCAGGTACGTCACTCCATCTCGTGGTGGGTCGCCCTACACTTCGCCTACCGGTACGAGGTTGCTACTCAAGAACCTTTCTTCCCCATCGGTTGTCGGTTCTTCGAGCTATATGGCCGGCCCACTGCCACTTCAGCTTACTAATCCGTTGGGCTAAGTCGGTTACTCTAGTTCTACTGCGGATATCCTCATTTCTAAGTTTATCACGCAGAGAAAACCCCGAGCATAGCCCTCTCCATAGTTCGCTGAACGACCTTGAGCTTCCTTATACGGCCAGCAGTGAAGGACGACGTCTCAGATCCGTAAGTCATCACTGGCAACAAACACTGGTTGTACAATTTCGTTTTAAGGTTTTGAGGTATGTCTAACGAGAAGTGTCGTAGTTTCCCGATTTTAACTGCTGGGCTACTTGATTTGCACTGTGCATAAGCTGGACTGTGAGCTTATTTGGCTTTAGTGGCAGCAGTTGACTTTTAAGGAGCAGTGAAGAAGCAATCAAGTTTCAATTTTGTTTATTTGTCTATATTGTATTGAAACGCCTACGTTAAAATCTCACTACTCCACGGATTGACTGGTACAGAATGCCTATAGACATTAAATTCACTTCTTGTATTCTTTTTTAACAGGGATTGCAATAAATGATAATTAAAAATTAAACATTTTGTACAACCGACTTCAATATAAATTATTAAGAATAACCAAAAAATTATTGGTCAAACCTTGATCAAATTTATATGGGACCATATGTGAAGCACCAGCTTTCATATAAAAGAAGAATCCTCGAAATCGGTTTACCCAGAAAGAAGTTATGGGGTAACACACATAAAAAAACCGTACACTTAACCGACAATGTAGTCGTAGTCAATTAAATACGCATTATTATGAATAACTCAAAAACTACTGTTCAGATCTTGATTAAATTTATATGGGACCACATGAGAAGCATCAGTTTTCAAATAGAAAAAGAATTAATCCATACATATAATAAAAATGTAAAAAGCAGACGTCTGTACATTTTATATTTTTGTAATAAAAGTGATTGAGAGGTACTAAAAATAAGTAACTAAATACATTTCTACCATTTTTAGAATTTTCTGTCTGTCTGTCTGTCTGTTTGTTTGTTAACGTATCACGTATAAAGTACTAATTTATATCATAGGAATCGTTAAGGAAAATATAAAGTGTATCTTCGTGTTACATTTAGTCTTTATTTTATTAAAATCAGTTTATTCAATCAAAAGTTATGATAAATATTCTGAAGTATGAATACGAAGTATAGGTACGAATTTGTTCAACGGTGGCGATGGTTGAGTCATCAAGTGCATTTTAAACTAATACCATATCATAAATCATAATATGAGATGGCGGTATTACTCGCTGCCCTACTGCGTGTTGACAAACTCATTTATTCTTTACCGCCGAGTACTCTATGTTGTGGTAAATCAAATTTTAAAAGAGCTATTAACAATTGCGTTGGTTACGGCGTGAATCAAACTTTCTTTTTTGCTTAGTATGCAGACACTGGTTTATAAGTTCTTTTATGTTTTATATATATAATAATATACCAATCGCGTCAATTAATCCCTTTTATTTTTAGAATTCATTGCTGTTAGCAGCGCCATCTCTCTTTAAATATATACATATAATAAAAATGGTGATAACATGTTGTGTCTGTTTTTGTACATTGTATAGAATATTTGTCACTAAAATCATTATAGGGAAATGAAAATAATTAAATAAGCACATTTTTATATTTTTTAGAATTGTCTGTCTGTCTGTCTGTTTGTTTATGAACGCATCGCACCTAAAGTAAACATCTTTTTTTTTCAAAGAAATCATTAAGAAAATCATAAAGCGTATCTTCAAGTTACATTTAATTTGTGTTTTATTAAATTTGGTTAATTCTATCGAAAGTTATGATTATTAGTTTGAAATGTAGGTTCGAATTTGTTCAATGGCACCATAAAATCTCAGAAAAAGTAATAAAAAGCTTTGTGTGTAAAAAAACGTTCTGTAATAATATATTTATACTTAATTTATACTTTTATACTTAAAACATAAAATTGAAGTGTCTGTTTGTAATGTCAAAATACCAGCATTTTACTAAATGCATATGAAAGTATATACGGTACTTATAACATAAACACAATTTTTAAAATTTTTGTCTGTCTGTCGGTCTGTCTGTCTGTCTGTCTGTTTGTTCTGGCTAATCTCCGAAACGGCTGGACCGATTTCGACGGGACTTTCACTGGCAGATAGCTGATATCATAAGGAGTAACTTAGGCTACTTATATTTTAGAAAAAGAATTAGGATTCCGCGCAACATAATTAAACCCCTAAATTACACGCGGGCGAAGTCGCGGGTAACAGGTAGTCTATAAATAAAATTGAAGTGTTCGTCTGTTATATTGAAATAACTGGCTTCATTAAGCTCTGAGAGTTATTAGCATGGCATTAAGACATAATCTACCACTTAAAAAAAATTGTCTCTCTGTCTGTTCGGTTAGTCATCGGAATGGCTGAACCGATTGTGCTGAAAGTTTACGAATAGATAGAAAGCAATGTAACTATATTTATACTTAAAACACAGTAAACAATAAAAAAGATGTTTTCCTTAAATTAAAAAAGTTTTCTCACAATGAACGTAATAGATGGCGTTGTACAAATTATATTCTTTTCTGAATTGCGGCGATAAGATACTCCGAATCGTATTGAGACTAGTTGAAGTGCAGTTACAGTCTCACAAATAACGATACACTACCCAGAACCAATGTAGATATTATATATTTTCATTTCAATTTTTAATTTCAATTTCAATTTAATAAATTAAATTAGATTAAAGGATATATATTATGAGTTATGAGTTTATGAGTTATAAAGAAAGGAGTGTCATTTCAATTGTTATTGTTTGAGCGTAGTGATTATATTATACTCTTTGGTTTTCTCATTACTGCTAGAATTTAGAATACTACTAAAACTCTATAGACATTAAGTAAAATAGTAAATTTATTTTGTATCAGATTATAATGAACAGACTAATATCCGAAATCACAACTTCCCACAACTCAATAGCGAACTTATATCCCAACTTCAAAGGATGCTACATGAAATAAATGCATACGTTCATAGTTTTAGGGTTGCATTGCAAAGGATCCGTCAAGATTTAATAAACAATTATAAAATAGTTATTAACGCTGACAGACGTCCTGTTACTGAACACCGCGGTAGGCACAACGTTCCTGTCACTGATGAAGTGGCAGTGGTATTACTTGACCAGGAGTGCGATAGACGTGACATCGTGTTGCACACACGTGACGATCAACTGCAACGGATTTATGAAACGCATCGATATTATGATGCTCTACAATATCCATTAATATATTGTCACGGTGAAAATGGGTACAATTTCGGAATTTATCAAGTTAATCCTAATACCAGAGAGACCAATTTTTTCGTGCGTAACGTAGGAAGTTATACTTCTTTAGCGTAACAGAATAATAATAACTAAAATAAAACACGTTTTATAGATTCATATGTATTTGAATAACTACCTACCTTCAACTCTCGGTATAGAGTAATTGTGTTCTGTGACCTTGAATACAGTTATCAGTTTTCCCGAAAACTTGACAGTTGACAGACAATTACCAACTGAAGTTGTCATTTTTAGGTGTCGGTGTGCGCGCGCATCGTAACTAAGAACTTCATGGTGTCGTTTTTCGGTGTCGGTGTGCGCGCGTATTGTAAAAAAATTCACTCATAATTTTACTCAAACGCGCCAAAAGAAGTATAACTTCAAAAAAAAAACTAATGAGACGAAGTAGTCCCTCTAAATAAAATAATCTATCGACAAAATTCACTTTTTAATAAAGGCGTAT